CGAAGTTCCAGATCGTACCCCGACAATCCCTGATTTCCTCAGTCCTTATATCGTGGTTTACGGGCTGTTCTTTGGTCAGACTTCTATAAAAGTGTCTTCTGAACAGCTCGAATCTGTCGTTTTGTATTTTTAATGTACATCAGGTCTCATAACTTTTTATTTTGCTTTCGTAAACTCTCACACAGTCTTTCAATATGCTTCTCGCTTCTTGGCAGTCGCGCTTAAGAGCAAGTATGAGATTCATCTCCCTCATACACTTCTTGGCCTCTTTTAAGTCTTTACCTCCAAGTTTTTCAGTTCTATGAGGGATTTGTGGAAATTCAACACGATTATCTTCTTTTCTATGCTAGCCCTCCACCCCGATAGCTTCTCTCTCCTTGTCATGTCTTCATAACTTTGTTGTGCTGCCTGGAGCTGCCCTGCAATATCAGTCATTGACTTCGGGGGATTTTGTGTAGCATATTCACCCGCCACTTGGTTTACTGCTCCAAGTATGAGTGGATCCACGCTCTCCGATGTTATATCCGCGTCCACTTTGCCTGGTTTATCTCACGTCCCTGTGCCTCTTGCATTAGCACTAGATATTTTTCCTTCACATCTAGATAAACCTTAGACTCGTATAGCATATTTTCCTCGAAGTGCGTATTTTGTGAATTGACACGCTTCGTGGACTCCTCCAAGAACCGTTTCTGTGAGCACGGACGACCTGCAATACTGGCGATCACAGAATTCGCTTGCTTCTTCAGATCTTCGAGCGTAATAGTATACGAAAACTTCTCTCTATACAGAGATCGACGCAGTGACCATTTCCCTCTTGGCATTCTTCCAAATCGGTCAAGAACCGCTTTCAGCACCTCTCCCGGCCACTTGGTTTCGTGGGGTTTTAATTCCACGGACGATTGCTATAAGCGTAATCATTCTGCTGGCACCAGGTTCCGGTAAACTGGCAGTGTGTTCTTTTACATTCTTCGCATAGCTTTTCCAAACCGCATCTGTTTTCGCATTGTTTTCTTTCATAGTTTCAGATGCGGACTTTTTCCTTTTTAGCCTCCGTTTTATGTTCGTTGAACACAGCCGCTCAAAGCCAACCGCTCAACACCTCGGCAAGGCCTAGAATATATATATATATAATGCGTTTGTAAATGCGAGAATCTGAAAATTAATCTAGAAATTATAAAAGTTGAAGTACTGAATTTAGATGCAGTTTACAAATTTATTATAATTTTTTAAAAAGGCCTAACGAAATTTTATTTTGTTCAAGGTTTCACAGAGCAGGTAATCAGACGAGATGCTGAAAGCGGTCCTTGACCGTTCCGGTAATGCCGAGAGGGGGATGGCATGGCATCGTACCCTGTAAAGGGATAAAGCGAGAAGTTCGTGTTGCAATTGCCCTCTAGGAACTAAAGAAAACAAGCGAGTTTTGCGATTATTAGTATTGCAGGCTCTATTCCCGCAGAAACGGTTCTTGGAGGAGTCAACAAAGCATGTCAAGACACAAGCGACCTAATTTGGGGAGAATACGCTACATAAATCCAATATTTATTTACACGTAAAACAAAAACGCCTTGCACAGATACAAAAGGCCCAATGACATGAGACAGACTTGACAAAATGGACAAAGAAAATGATTCAGAAAAATCTAGAAAAATTCTGACCCTCTCATACCTAAATCAGGTATCAAGGGATAGTGAATGTGCCAGACGAGTTTTACAAAGCCATTGGCCAATATTGTAAGGCTATACACTACATGATATGACGTTCAAAAAACGTTGGATTTGGTAAATCACAGCTACCTGATTAAATGTATTGAAAGACTCAACATATCAGCGTGATCGGCATGTTACTGCCATCATCTCCAAATGGTCAGTTATACTGAAAAACAGTAGAGGAACACAAATGGAGAAGAAAATATAAGGAGAAATTCTCCTAGGTGATAGCCTTTCTCCGCTGCTATTTATCCGTTTAGTGTACGGACCCGTTGGGCCGTCGGTTCAATATGAAATATCCGAAGGTGGCAGTTTCCACCGATCAAGGAAAGCATGTCCAATTATTATTTCTCAAGCTCCTTGATACTGACGAGAGTATCATGAAATCCATGACCGAAAAAGTTCAGAGGTTCTTTGAAATAGTAAGTCATAGGTGAATCCAGCAATATCAGTCAATAAAACCGATATGTGTGCTAATAAGGCGGTGTTCTTAATAAGAACTCAAGGTTATATATACCTCTAAGTAATGGAGACAGGACTGGTACACCGACTGGAGAAAGCTGCGATAAAGTACGAGCAGAGATTTTGACGAGAATCAAGTAATTAGGTAAAAAAAAAATGGGAAGTATCACTGCAATGCACAAGCACGCCGTAACTTTAACTTCGTCGGCCATGGATTTCATGACATTATTTCAGTCTTGACTGCTAACGTTTTTTTCGGTCTAGCGGTCGAGACCGAGAAAAAGCGAAATTATGGTCTACTAATAAATAAGCATAGGGTAGAGATGTTATGCAAAACGAATATAATGCCGTATGTAGTGAATTGGAATAGAATCGTAACGAGCTTCCATAAACGTTAACGACGGAAATTAGTATATCTGATCACGTTGAGGCATATATCTAATCGATAGTGCTCAAGAAGAGGTTCGAAAACATCTTGTGCGGTCACCGCCCTGAACTCGACGAAGATGAAGCAGTAGAGATAGCACAGCAAAACTGACCGCAGGATGAGTGCAGCCAGAGTGCCGGAACACGTTCTAGTACCAGAATTAATGATGCGCAACTGAGTATAAAATCGGGAGACCTTTCGCAGAAACATCTCAGATGACGACATACTACCAGAATCTTCTACAAAATATTTTCATTTATGACGAACTTCGTTTGTATCAACGAAGAGGAAGTGTGAAAGGAGAAGAGGGTAGCAGACAATGAAGCAGTGGCGTACATTCATTAGCACAGTTTCGACTTAATTGCAGAAAATAGGTGGGTTAGGAGAATGAGTATGTGGGTGCGGACAATTGTTCCGAATCCATTAAGAAGGGGGATCTATATGCTCTCGAAGTTGATTCGGTCACTGCAGAGACATTTTGCTTTGTGTGCTTTGTCTTTTGTAAGCTTTTTATTTTGTTCGTTAATTTGCATCTTCATGCTCCATACCATAATATCACGTATTTTTTTGGAGCGCAGCAGAGTGAAATCATTTTCAGGAATTATCAAGTATGTGCTGATAAAGTCTGTGCTGTTTTCAAGGCATTTTTTGGTCATAGAATTTTTTCAAATTATTGGGTCAGTATTGCGAGATACAAAAAACTGAATCATCCTGTATAGAAATAAAATTCCAAATATGAAAGATAGACTGTCAGATTTGCAGCAGGTATGTTTTTTACTCATCGACATGTTTTTTATCGTACACGTGGAGTGAAGTAACATTTGGTGGTCACGTGCTTGGTGATTAGTCGAAGCTTATTATTAATAGTGATTAAGTTATATGGAATCGGTTTCACACTACGACTGAGTAATTAACGCTTGCAGAAATTGCATTTATCGTTTACATACAGTACACAAAAAATCTTAAGCTATCAGTTTATTTTACTTTGCTTAACTTTTTTGTGATTCTGATGCTGATGGATGACGATAGGAAATGGAAGAAAGCAGAGTTCAAATTTTTTTATCGAGTTTATTGCAGGGTGCTAAGATAGAATTGTCCTTATCATCTCTTATAAAGCGATTAGACGAAGACTGGTCAAATGATTCAGACAATGTGTACTTGTTGAATAAACCAAGTAGTAGCAAGGTTGACATGGTATCGTAAATTTGTTTTAATTTTATTTTTTACTACAAGTTAACAGAAATTACTTTTTTTACAAATATTGTTTTATATTTCTAGTTTCTGACGCAAGTAGATGTATTGATGAAGGAGATGAGCGGAATGCAAAAGTTATTGAATGAAATAAAAGATTGGCATTGGAAAATTATTGCTGAACCTGGAGATCATCCCAGTAAACCTTATTCATGTGTTTTAGCTCTGCTGTATCAAGCATAACTATTTAACTAGTTGATTAGGTAATTTATTGACTCTTCTGATCAGGATTGGAGTTACTGAGATAAAAATTTTTTTTAAGTCTTGCATATTCAGCTCGTTTGCATATTTACATTTGCATCACCCTAGCTGCTAGTGTTATGTAGAATAATAACTTTGCAGGTATGAATGTTGAACTGGATAAATCAGTGAAAATCTATACAACAAGGCTTTATAAAATCCAAGCTGCTCTTAAAAGTATTTTCACGTAACTATAATAATCAAATAGAATTCACTGATGAAAATTTGATGTGTTATGTTTACTTATATAATTAATTTCTTCAGGCTTGAGTGCTGAAATAGAATATCAGTTTGGTGAATCAAATATGCAAACAACAGAAGCACGTATAAAAAGAAATCAGGTTTTATAACACGGTCATTTAATTCAGACTTGTATTAGGCATTTTCAGGCATTCGTTTGCAACCAATGACTATTTTTAACTTCAGATTTATTTAGTATGTTGTGTAACATTAACATATCTCATCTTTCAAGATGATGACGCTCACCAGAAAGTTTCAATGTTTATTAGTTGCATTTAATGATGAACAGCTATCATACAAAGATAAATGCAAGCGAAAAATTTCGTCTTACCTTAAAATTTGTATGTCCTCATTTTTTAACGCTACATATTCTTCATGCATTTTACTTTTTTCAAAACTGCAACTTTGGTTCCAGTTCATCTTACTTCTGATAAATTGTAATTTTTTAATATTGTTAACATTAGCTGAAAATGCAATGAACGATGAAGACCTTGAAAGTGTAATCGAAAAAGGAACTTTATTTGAGTATACTAAGCAGGTACATGTTTTCACATAATTTTTAGTAGTATATCAGTTATTGTAAATAATTAGATTTGATATATTTCATCTTTCTAGTTGTACAATTTTTCCATAATTGCAGTTGGTTCTGGCAGAACGTGCTAAGAAAGCTCTATATGACGAAGTTAGGACACGTCATGAAGATATCATTAAATTAGAAAGCAGCGTCAAGGAACTGCATAACTTATTTCTTGGGTTGGCTACTCTCATTGAAAATCAGGTCGTGAAACATTTAACAGGGGAAGGCTCTCTTTTTATAGAGAAATTTGTTTATTCAGTTCTGCCCATAAATGTTTTGTAGGGTGAAATGTTGGATGATATTGAACGAAATGTGGATAGTGCAGTAGATTATGCGCAGAAAGCTCATTCAAACATCATTAAAGCGAAAGTCATGCAAGCAAGTGCCCGAAAGGTTAATTTTTCAATTGCAGAAAGCTTATTGATACATTTCCGAAATGTAATTTATTATTGATCAAAGCAATTTATTCACTGTGCATGAAATAATTGATTTCATATACTAAGATTCCATTATCTAGTAACACTAAGTTTACGCATTCATTTCAGAAAAAACTGTGTCTGTTGATGGCAGTAATCGTTTCGATAATCCTCTTATTCTGTTTTGGAACTATCTTTTTTTGTTTTCATGTACCATTTATGTGTCGTTGAATAATACAAGATCATGTTTCGAACTTCAGAATCATTTTCTAATCGATTGTTTTAGATAATTTTAATAACTTTGAAACCACCGTTCGTGGAAAAAACTCCCAATATATTCCTTTTAACTGATTCTAAAAACCACTTTTTTTATCAATTTTGGTTCTGGAGTTCAATAAAGAATTCATTCCATATTGCACACTACATCAATTAATATTTAATTTATTTCACTAAATCTCGCCTCACTGTTGGAAAAGTACCTATTTCTATGGCGTAAACTTCCAGCTCAGAAGTAGTGATTCCTGTTTAAGCTGAAATGTAGTGAAGATCTAATACCTGTTCGCTTCATTATGCGGAAAAGAGGGACGTGCAAATTTATTTCCTGATCAGTGTCCAGTTCTAGTAATAAGTCTGGGAGGGTGGGCGTCGCGAAGAAGCACCGGAAAGATGTGAGCATATCCTTGGGATAGCAAGTTCTGAAATTCTCAAATGTTAAAAATTTGGAAGCAACCGAGAGTGATTTAGGCCATGAAATTCACAGCAGTCGTACGTTATAATTATTCAGTGATGAATTAGAACAGTCCAAGCTGTAACAGCTTCGATGTTTTCAGGAATGCATTTAACTAAATGTTTGTAAGAAAAATTGGCGAGTATATACGTATAATATGAATTGCATATCTTTAAAAACTGACACGGTTTTATTTCGAGGTCCCTAAAATAAAACTGCGCAGTTCAATTTTAAAGGTCGTATAGTAGATACATCCAGCACATGATGCATGATGATTTTGACTCCGCAAGATTGTGAAGTAAAGATCGCTTGGAATGATATGAAGTTTTCATGCACTGAAGTAACATTTGATGTAGGGCATAAAGCTATAACAAGTAAATATTCTAACTTTATATGTGGCTTCTATTGCTACTTCATATCCATAGTCTGCACGATTTAAGTTTTGTTACTTGATGGTAGCACTTACACCGTATATGATTGTCAACCACTGTTATGATGTCAGCAGAGTTATATTTATGTAAAAAGCGATAGCATTTAAAATTGTCCATTTTTCAAAAGATCATTCAATTTTAGCTACACTCTCACAGCTTGTTGTAAGAATCGCTTCTCTCTCAATATGCGTATCGAATCTGGAATGCATCTGATAACAATGGTTACAGTAACAATACTCTTTCTGGTAGCGCATCAAAATTACCCGCAAACGATGACAACCAAGAATGTTCAGTCTCGCAAATCACTAGAGAACAAACTAGTGTGATTTTTCTTCGTCAAAGTAACACGCTGTTATTACCAATTTTGAGCAGTAAGCGAGGAGAAACAAAATATGAAGACCACTCTAAAAACTCTCAAACTGTCTTATGACTGTCACAACCAGTACATGAATTTATTATTTTGTGCACTGGACTAGATCAAATGCTGTGGCATCAAGTATATTCACATATTTCGAACTATTGTACAATAGAGATGGTGGAAATTAAATCCAGTTTCAGCACCCCAGTATAATTGCTTATTAATTCCATGAAGAGCTTATTTACTGCCTTGTTAAAGTTCTTGCCGTTTAGTGCAGTTTTGGCTAGTCGTTGAATTCTCGCCAAAATCTCTGCTCGCACTTTATCGTAGCTTTCTCAAGTCGAAGCGCTAGTCCAGTCCTCCATTATGCCAAGGTTGAGTTCCTTCCAAGAGTACCACCTTATCAGCGCATACCTCAGTATTAGTAGCGTTGTTGGATTCACCTCTAACCCTACTATTTCAAAGCACTTCTGGACTTCTTCGGCCATAGCTTTCATGATATTCTCGTTGGCAGCAAGGAGCTTGAGCTCATTCACAAATAGTAAATGGTTCGTTACATTCATTTCTTGATCGGTGGGAACCTCCTCCACCTTTGGATACTTCTATTGAGCCTGCGTCTACGCAAGTCCATGCATGAAACGAACAGCAGCGGAGAAAGGCTGTAACCTTGTAAAATTCTCCGCTGTATTTTTTTTCTATTATGGTTTTTCCATTGCTTTTCAATGTAACCGAGCACCTGGAGGTGATGCTTCTCAGAAATCTGATAATCCACATTGGCATGTTGAGCCTTTCAATGCACTAAATCAGGTATCCGTGATTAACTGAATCGAGCGCTTTTTTGATGTCATACATATGGTAAATAGCTGATTTGCATGCTCTCTACATACCGCCAGGTCCAAGTGTCTGCTCTTTCGCACCCTGAACCTTTCCGATTAGTTCCTAATTGGTTGACTGCAAGTAGTTTTCTCGGGGCAATATCTGGTCGTATGACTCGTTTCACACATTTTGTTGTTAATTTGTAAAGGTTTGACATGCAAGTTATTGGCCTGAAGTCACTACCGTTGTTTGGGACATCTTTAGGAATCAGATACGCCGAGCTTTTGTAGAACCATGGGTCCAGTTCTTCCCCAAGCAACTTTGTCTAGTTATTTTGTATAGGTCTAGATGTGCACTTTTTAATGAAGTTGTAGGTTCTATCAGGGCTTACCGCCTTCCATTTGGGCAAACAGGGAAGATTCGGCTTCAGATTGGAAAGTATCATGCTGTTCAGAGTCCGGAACGAATTCTTCCAGATATTCATTGTGCCGATTATCATCGTCTCTCATTTTCGAATTCCACATCGTGGCCCGGAACTCTCTGATTTCTGCTGTCCGTACATTGTGGCTAACGGGTGGTTCCTAACCTAGTTTTTTATAAGACCGCCTTCTGAACAACTCAAATATGGCGTTTTCAGTTTTGAATGCACGTCGGGATTCATAACTTTTTATCTTACTTTCATAAACTCTCACACGTTCTGTCAGCATGCTCAAGACTCATGACAGTCATGTTTGAGAGCAAATATGAGACTCATGCCCCTCATACACTTTTTGGCCTCCTTCAGGTTTTACGTTCAAGTATTTCACCAGCCATATACCACTCCATGAGTGTTTTCCTGAAGTTATTTACACCTATTTTTTCTATGCTTGCTTTCTATATTGATGGTTTTTTTTCACGCACTGTCATATCTTCATAGCATTGTTCTGCCATCTAGAATCGCCTTGCAAGATCAGTCATTGACTTTGTGGGGCTCTGAGGCATATTCACCCGCCGCTTGGTTTACCGCACCAAGTGTAAGCGGGTCACCTTTCTCCGAGATTATTTTCTGCGTCCACTTTGTCTGATCCATCTCACATCCTTGTGCTTCTTGCATCACCACTAGGTATTTCTCCTTTACATTCAGATAACCTTTAGACTCGTGTAGAGCGTTTTGATCGAAGTACGTATCTTGCACTTCGACACGTTTCGTTTGCTCCTCCAAGTACCTTCTTACGAGTATGGACGACTTGCAATACTGGTGATTGCAGCATTCGCTTGTTTCTTCAGTTCTTGAATGTTGATTGCGCACACAAACTTCTCGCAATACAGAGATCGACACAAGAGCCATCCTCTCGAAACGGTCAAGAACCGCCTTTAGTACTTCATCTGGCCAGCTGCTTTGCTGAACCTCGATTCCTCGAATGATAACTTCAAGCGTAATCATCTTACTAATTCCTGATTTCGATAAGCTGGCAGAGTGTTCTCTTTACATTTTTCATGGAGCTTTTCGCAATCCCATCTGCTCTCCCACTGTTTTCCACTAAGATTCCAGATGCGTTTTTCTCCGTTCATCCTCCATTTTCTTACTGGACTTGTGATATGCTGACTGTACGAGCACACAGCATTTCCCTCGTTTCGGTTTCGATCTCGTTTTGCAATGGGCTATTCTTCCCCTTTATTTGGGCCATGTGTGTTAATCTTTACTTTCTTCTTTTGTTTCGTCTTCGTTTCTTCAGAAGTACTGCAACAGGAGATTGCATGAGCACTGTTGTTATAGTCTGTCTTTTCGCCTCTTGGAAGTCGTCTGTGACGTGGAAGGTCCTTTAGAGACTCGTTCCAATCCATTGGATAACTGATCTATTTGAATTGTTGTCGCAGCTGCTCGCACTGGTATTTCCGTCATTCTCTTCCGTCACCGCATCATAATATCGCCATAACAGACAGAGGTAAGGCAGAGAAAAGAATAGAAACAGAAAATGTTACTAGAAAATGTTGTGTTTCGTGCAAGAACAGACACAATCTCTCGTCCACAATTACCTCGAACTTGGGTAATATAAACCATATATATATAGACAGATAGATAGATAGATAGATAGATAGATAGGTAGATAGATAGATAAATAGATAGATAGATAGATAGATAGATAGATAGA